TCGACTGGAGGAAAATCCTTCCGGCCAACAAGGTACCTCGTCGACTGGAAGGAAAACCTTCCAGTCAGCGAGGTACGTGTACCTTGCCGGCTGGAAGGAAACCCATCCAGCTGGCCATCTCCTCCTTCCGGCCTTGGGTATCCTTGGGGATACCCGGATATCCGCTGGGATTTCACAGAAAAGGGGGCATCTGCATCCGCTGGCAGGTATCCACCAGCGTATAACAGATATCCGCAACGGATTATCCCGGACCATCTCTACTGTTGAGGTGTACATCCCCTTGACAGAAAAAATGGAAACTTTCAATTGGAGTCTAGAGGGCAAACCAATGGACTTCTATTTATGCTTCCCAGTGATACTGTGGAAAATGAGCTCCAAAGAATGATTCTGACAAATTGGACAGGAAAATGTTTGGTAAAATTTTTCAGCCTACGTGATGCCAAGACACAAGATCTTCTAGCTACACGTGGTGCAAGAGCAAACAAAAATCTTGTAGAGTTTGGGCTTCAATTTTAAAGGAATAAATTCCAATAAAACAGGGGAATTTATAGTTTTTAATTTGAGAGAAAAATGGCCAATTTATATTAATAAAATTAATATAAATTAATCCAGAGGGGCCTGCTAAATCAAGGGTGGTTTAGATCTAGGGTTCTGATCCGGGCCTCCGGGTTCGGGTATTGCCTTTCCGAGATCCGAACCCGGCATATCCGGCTCCGACGCCGGGTACCCGACGGATCTGAGCCTCCAGCCCAAACTTCACCAAGCGGTTTGGGAGAGCCCAAAACAAACTTTTGATTTTGGAAAAAAAAGTCTTGAAAAAAATGGGTCCAAAACCCCCAAAAACCCCGGATTTCTGCCATAAAGGGCGGAATTTTAGGCATAAAAATAGGGGTCCTGTTGAAATCTGGTGAAACTTGACATGTCAAGGGTCAATGACAACAATCACGGATCAAGCGCAGTCAACCGCTTAGGGTTGAGAAGGATCAACTTCAAATACTCAGAACTGATTGTAACGGTCTTCTTCCCTCAATCTCGTCAAGACCATCAAGATTCAAAATTCCTCAAAGCCCTACACTTTAACTCACCCGATCACGGATCGCTACTATCGCCGATACTGGTTCTATACCCAGTGTAATGTTCCCGGCCTCTCCACTCTGAAGCTTGAATTCAAATACTCACTCTTTTTTTTGTCCCTTTCTTTTGTAAAAGTCTTCATTGGTGCTCTCTCTCTTCTCCGCTGTAAAGCATTTCTTATCTAATAAGAATCCTTGCTCAACATAGTTTGTTGGTTATATTCCTCTCTTATTTTCATCTGTTTTCTCCTCTCTGCTATTCTTTGCTTGATGAACAAATCACTGAACTTTTCTTCTTCTCATTTGATTTTTTTCTTTTTCAGACTATCTGCTTGCTCAATCCTCCTACAAAGTCCTCACTTAAATTGTTATATCTTTCCATCTATATTAGCGGTATGCTCTCTTTCTCATTCTAAAGTTCTTATTCTTCTTTGTCTGATTATTTACTAAAGTCTCTGTTTTTGCTTAGTCTGGTTTCTGGTTTCTTAGTAATTTCATCATAACTTTTTCACGATTAACAGTCGAAAAAACAGGAAATTGAAACCAACCGAAAATCAACCGAAACCAGATACTAATTGTCGTCGAGATGGACGCTGTTAATCCAACGATACTCAAGACGACTATTGAGGCAATCCCGGTCCTTACCGAGGAAAACTTTTCTAGCTGGAAGACTCGAATCACTGCTCTCTTCAAACTGGGCGGTGTCAAGACTCAAATCCTTGATGGAGAACCGGCTTTGGAGGATACCGACAATACCATTCTGTGCGCGATCTTACTCGCAAAAATTTCTCAAACGACACACAATAATGTGGTCAACTCTACCAACGAGGACGATGCTATTCTACTCTGGAAAAGCATTATAGATCGATTCATGTCTTCCGAACCATCTAACCGCGCCCGTGTTTATAACCAGTTCGCCAATATTACTTTCGATGCGAGCAACATCGATAAATTCATCTCCGAAGTTCGTGCTAGTCTGACCAAGATGGAAGACGTCGGCGTTGTCCTGCCTGACGACATTCTCACCTATGAACTTCTTCGCCGATTACCCAACAGCTTGGACAACATCAAACAGAGTATAACCCACTCTAAGAATGGCGAGGACATCAAACCCGATAACCTCATCAAACATCTCGAAATACACCTTAATGAGCAAAAGGTGGCTTCCGCGAGTACTAGCGAAACGATCGGAACAACCATGTTCACAAAAGAAGATCCTCGCTGCATACCTGGCGCTCACAATCCTTTCGCCGTCTCCCATCCTGCAGAAAATTGCTGGCATGTTTATCCCGAGAAGAAAATCGCTCACTACGAAAGAAAGAATAAGGAGAATAATGTCAGGAGCTTCTCATCTTTCTCCTTCAATCATCCTGAATCTTTCGTTCTCGACTCTGGCTCTTCGTCTCATATGGTCTCTGACGAAAACCTATTCATTGCCTTAGACAAAACCAAAAAAGGGATGATAAACACGAGTTGTGGCGAGAACACTCTGGCGATCGAAGGGAAAGGATCCATCTCAGTCAAATTCAAAGATCGATCCCTAATTTTTCACAATGTTCTTTTCGTCCCTAATCTCTCTGTCAATCTTCTATCATTGCGCAATCTACTTCTCGAGCAATGCAAAGTCAATTTCTCTGTGAACAATTTCTCTATTCTTAAAAATGAGGAACCATTTCTAGAAGGTCATTATCATGACAACTTGCCGGTACTCAAACTTGAACCTCACAAGCAACAGTCACATCTCAGCACTGCAGAACTGCTACACAAGTCCCTGGGCCATGTGAGCTATGGCAGGATTAGAAATAAATTGGGGATTCTTGTAAAGGCCCCCGAGACCTGCAAGTCGTGCGCTGTCGTTAAGATAACAAAAGCCACCTTCAAACACAGAACATCGGCAGCGTCGAGACCATTTGAAGAACTTCATCTTGATCTCATTGGACCAATTGAACCAATGTCTCGGAAGAAACATAGGTACATTCTTACCCTTGTTGATTCCAATACTCGATTCTGTGCCGGAATCCCTCTCACCTCTAAGGCAGAAACGTTCTCTCGTCTCACTCGAGCTATTGATGTAGAAGCAAAAAGATTCGGCTATTATCCTTCCATTCTTCATTCGGATCGCGGGACTGAATTTGTAAATTCAAACCTGAATGAATACTGTGAAAAACACGTCATAAGGCAGAGGTT